TCTAAATTCTTCAGTTTCTAGGATCATTTAAGCTAATCTTTGCAAAAGTAAACACATCTATGCATTTAACTCACACAGTTTTCACTGAAGCATTCCCTTCTCAGGCACTGCTCTCCCAACTTGCACATTTCCCTGTTCCTGCCCATTCTTGGCACCCATGCAGCCTTGCTGGCTTCCTGGAGGACAGGCAGCCTGCAGAATGTCTGTGCTGGCCTTGAAGACAGTGCTTCGATCATGCAGGTAAGTAATTTATTGATCTGTAAAGCACTCTGAGATGCTCTGCAAGGGATTATGTCACGCCAACGCCATGCAATAAAATAAAAAATGATGACTTTGTGAACACAGGGTGATTTAGGGTTTGTAGTTGGAAGTGTGCTTAAAGTACATTTTAAGTGGAAATCAGGCTGGGTAATGAATTACTCTTGCTTTGGAAGGGCTTACTGGGAGTTCATTTTCCTGGCTTCTTACATGATAGCTAATCTGCTAATCATACACTAGAGAACAATGGACAGTCCCCAAGTAGGATAGAGGGTGGTTTGGGCCAGAGCTGTCAGCACAGTAAGTATATTAAGTGAGACGATCACACTTCATGCTTGGAAGAATCATCTAGAATTGTCTCTTCCTACCAACAGTTGGAAAGCATCCAATTCATGAAGTGGAAGCTGGAGAAATGCTCACCATCCTTCAATCCTGCCTAAGCACAATGCTTGAAGGAGGCCAACTCCTTCTGGATAAATCTGAAAGGCACTATCTGCACACAGAGCTGAAGTGGGTTGACCAAGATGCAGTCCCAGTGATCAGAACTAAACTGGCAAGTGCATAAGATGCAAGGAGATTAGAACTATTATTTTCCAAATGGCAACTTCTAGCACCTTAGTATTCAAAATCAAATTCAATTGACAAGTATGCACTGTGGTTTTAGCTAATTGGTGCTCACAAGGAAGCTTTTGGCCAACTGTGAGATAGGGATACTTATATTTTTATCTTGTTTCCATGGATACATTTTGTATTTTCCTTCTTCTCAACACATAGGTTGTTAGAAACATACGAGGATTGCTTTGCTTATTTTCACTGATTCATTCATTCTTTTCTCTTTGCTCCTTTTCCATATCATTGCATTAGATAAGCACTAGGAACATAAACCAACTAAGACACAGTTCTTGTCCTCAAGGGGTTAACAGTCTAGAGATACAAAAATAGATATGAAAGACTGACCTTTTAATGTATTGTGAACATAAAAGGATAAATGAGGTGTTACAGAACATAGAGAACTAGCCTTGGGAGACTTCTTGGATTCATGACCCCTAAGTTAAGCCCTGGGAGATAAGTAAAAGTTAATCAGGTCTAGAGACAGGAAGAGAACAAATACTCTCAGCAAAGGAGACAATGTAAAGAAAGCACCATCAGTGAGACCTTCTGTGACCAAGCATGATCATTAACTGAAGAAACTTTCTTAGGGGCTGGGCCAAGGTCATTTAACAAACACTTTGTGGACACCTACATACACAGCTGTGTGCTCTGTAAGTGAAGGACTTGCAGAAGTATGGCAATTTTTATGACCTTCCATGAACTTCCCATCTGTTTAGGGAAACCGTGCACGTCAACATTTCAGAGTTGAATAATAAAACAAAATATGCCAGAAAATTAAGTGTGACTGTATGGGTAATGAATGAATGGTAGATGCATTAGTTGCTGTGCACTGGTAGGAGGGGAATACCCTGAGTGGGAAATGGCTTCACCTCAGATTATAGTCTCTTTAGATATCAACAAATGAGAAACGGTTGTCAGGCAGAAGCAGTGGAGCTGGTCTAATGAGACAGCATCACGTGGCACAGACAGGAAGGCAGGAATTCATGAAGTATATGAAGACACCAAGTCTCCTGGCTACAGAAAGCAATCTAGAGTACATGGCTGAGATCCCAGCCCTACTGGGTGGTAACTGGTACCTTGGTCAATTACTTGGTGAACACTCTGAGCCCCACTTTCTTCATCTACAAAATGGGGCTGATAATTACATGGATTTCACAAGGTTCTTCTGAGGACTTAAGGAGTACATTTATGAAA